TGTGGGGGCAATATGCTGACTCTGTAAACCGCTTAGAGAGGGCTGAAAGCCCTACGAAGCGGTATATAAGTCTAACTGCTATTGCTATCATCTGGCTTTTCTGCCCTTCATCTTCAGTATATTACTAGCCAGAAAAAAACACCAGCATTAAGCAAATGGATGGAGATAGTTTTGAGCCCCTTCTTCTAATTGTGGACACCAATACTGTAGAGAAGCTGTGAGATGTATGAATGCTAATGAAAAAGTAGAAGATAATACACACATCTACACAACCTATAAAGTAAGTTATAGATCAAAGTTCAGTATGTCAGGAGAAACATAAAATTAAATTGAAGGCAGAGGGAAATGTATGAGGGTAAAACCAGTAGGACCATGAATGAATAGCATCTAAAGGAATGTGTTTGAATGCAAACTTGAATCAATGATCACTACTGTACATAAGAAGTACATTAAGATGATTTGCTTATATAGAAGAACTATTAGGATTGAATTACAAAACAAATATATGGAAGAAGAGTGAATAGAGCAAGAAGAATGAGAGGCTTGAGAAAGTCATGCAGTTGATGAGATCCTCTGAGAGAGAGAGGGGGAGAGAGAGGTGAGAAATTTGAAGAACAGAAGGCAGTGTATGAAGTGTTGCATAGAGGTGATGAAAGCAAGGATAGTTTCAAGGATAGAAAAGTATGGAGAAGAATAGTGAATGGTCTTCATATAATTTAGTTTTATTTACTTTTTTAAAAATCTCATACTTTTAATATATTTTTTCTTAATGTTTTTATACCCCACACTCTTTCTGTATATTATATTGCTTATCTGTAATGCATGTATATGTTTCTGAAAGGGGGTCAACAATAATTTCCTTATTTCTTCTTCTAAGACATTTTTATCCAAATTGAATCTAAACACCCTAGCAGATTATTCATCCACCTAAGAAAATGGGTTAATACAGGCAAGAGTTGACTAGTGGGTCTCATTCTCTTTCCCCCGTACTCCCCCCCCCATGAGTTTAGGAAAAATCAAAAGCTTAAATGTTATTTTCTAAACCTTTTGTCCTAAAGGCATTGGTTTAATATGGATTTTTATTTATTTACTTAGTAAATTTATGGTTTTGATTTGTTGTTAATCAGGGTAACACAGCTGCCTTTATTCTTTTTGGAACCCCCCAAATGCATAAAGAGTCAATTGTGGACTTCTCTCTGGTTCTCATATTTCCTAGAGTATAATTTTTGTTTTGTTTTGGGCTGCTTAGGTTTAAAAAAATGGTGATGCAGGGCATGCTTATTTTAATAGTATAGTTTTTTAGAAGCAGGCTTTTAAACATTAGTTTTCTAAAATCTTTGCTTTCATAAAATGGATTACATTTATAAAGGTAGTGTGCAAATGGAGATAAACTAAAGAAATGATAGAATAGCACTATTATCAACCATTGCTTTATCTTGCTATAATTTCTATAAATATGTGCTTCCCCACCTCCCCAGATCTGGATAGGCACATCGTAAATTTCTGGGTACTTCTTGCTTTGGCAGATTAGGCAAATTTATCTCCCAAGACATATTTTTAGAGATGCTGATTTCCACATTATACTATAGAAATTGGAGGTTCTTTTTCTCCAAGAGGCTATTTCTAAAACAAGCAGTGTGCAAGGTATCTAGTTACAACTGTAGTTGCTCAGTGGAGATGAGAGAGAGGCTGCTGTTGGGGTTTACTTCTCGCTGTTCAGCATACAAGCAAATTTAGTGGCTAATCAGGCAAGTTTTCGTTGTTGTGGATGTGCATATGTGGGGGGAGTTCCATAAAGGCTGGGTCCAGGGGATCACATTTCATTGTGACATCATTGGTCCTTGTTTAAGCAGTGAAAACAGCAGGCTGATCCTTTGGAAAAGGCAAACACCATCCAACACAACCTAAGCTGAAAGAGATACTCAGAACACTGGAAGCAACTGAGCAGTGGATTTCGAATAAACTGCCAGCTTTGCCCTGTCTGACATGAGGTAGGTGTCTCTAACGTCCATCAAAGCTTAGAGAGCAGAGTTGTTGCCAGATTTAAACTATGGGGTATTTTGGAACTGCTGTGCTTATTGTATGTATTATGCTAAGGACCAGGAAAGCTCTCAAAAGAAGGAGACATCCATCATAAGTTACTCTGCCTCTCCCCAGATTCTTTCTGTCTAGATCAGATATAAGTCTTATAATGATGAATTGTATGATGATTACATGATGATCTTTTTTTAAATCCAGAAACTTTTTCTTGATGTTCCTTGTAGTCTGCAATAACTGCTCTGTTCCTCGAAAGTTCCTGGAATGATGTTTCTTTACATTTCTGAAGTATTTGAACTTTTGGAAAAATAAGTATTTCATATCTGACTTCACATTTTCAATTAAATTAGATAAAGAATTCCTAGAATCCATTAAACATTTGGATTATTCCAGAGAGTTCTCTTTATGGGTGAAGCTGTTGGCACCTGAAGCTTCTACAAAGTATAAGGTCCTTTTCTAGTTATTTCCTGGATAACCAGATTATTAAAAAATTGGATGATTGTAATCAAACTTGTAGGTTGAGAATAATGTTGATCAAGAGGTTTTATCAAGAATCTGTTTGGAATACAGAAAACATATCCCATTTATTCTGATGTGCACTTAGCTTTATTCTGTGATTTAACATTGCGACAAATGAACCTTTTTAAACTCTTTTTTTAAGCTAACGTGTTAACTATAGTTCATTATAAGGCATCATCAATTAAGATCTGTCATATTACTAATATCATTCCTTGTTTACTAATATTAATGACTGCCTAACAAAAAGTCTACTTGTGATTAAGAGAAAGAAAGAATAGTTCTGTGAAGGCTTGGCTGTCAAACCAATTTAGCCTCAGCGTTCAGAATTTAGTGTAGCATGCTTTCCAGAAAATAGCCGAATTAATCTATGAATTAGTTCAATCTGAAATTCAATAGCTGATTTATGATTCAGTATTTTTCTATAGTAACTGTTACATTATAATTTGATAGGTGAGACCAAAATTATAAATTTCCAAGGTAGGCTGTTAATTAAAGAAATTTGGGGAGATTGGAGATACTACGAAGAGACACCGAAACACTAAAGTATATCCTTAGAACTGGTCTAAGTGATACAGAGCAGCCTGGGATGACTGGATTTGGAGTCTTCTGTTTACCTATAAAAGTCTATTTGTCTATAAAGCCCAAATAGCAGGTGAACCTGGCCTGGATGGGGGTTAACAAGCTTGTACTCAATCCGGATAAGACCGAGTGGCTGGTGTGTTTCCCTCCTACTAATTGGCCAAGTTTTCCATCTCTCAGGCTGGGGGGTCAAACAGTACGCCCCTCAGACAGGGTTCGCAATTTGGGAGTCCTCCTGGATCCACAGCTGACTTTCAAACACCACTTGTCGGCTGTGACCAGGGGGGCATTTGCTCAGGTTTGCCTGGTGCACCAGTTGCGTCCCTACCTGAACCGGGAGGCCCTCACAACAGTCACTCGTGCCCTTGTGACCTCTAGACTGGACTACTGCAACATGCTCTACATGGGGCAGCCCTTGAAGAGCATTCGGAGACTTCAGCTTGTCCAGAATGCAGACGCGCGAGCGATCGTGGGTGCACCTCGGTTCACCCACGTAACATCTATCCTCCGCGAACTGCACTGGCTGCCTATTGGTCTTCGGATACGCTTCAAGGCGCTAGTCGTCACTTATAAAGCCCTTCATGGTATTGGACCTGGGTACTTGAGAGACCGCCTGCTGCCAATTACCTCCAATAGACCGATTAGATCCCACAGATTAGGCCTCCTCCGAATTCCATCTGCCGGCCAATGCCAACTGGCAACTACCCGGAGGAGAGCCTTCTCTGTGGCTCCTCCGACCCTCTGGAACGAGCTCCCCGTGGAGATTCGAACCCTCACCACCATCCAGGCCTTCCGCAAAGCCCTTAAAACCTAGCTGTTCCGACAGGCCTGGGGCTAAAGAGCTGTTGCCCCCCGTATCGAATGGTATGACTGTTGTGTGTTTTTAAATTATGTATTGTTATGTTTCGTCTTTTTATTTCCTGTCTGTACCCCCCTTCCCTGATTTGAATTGTGAGCCACCCTGAGTCCCCTTTGGGGAAAAGGGCGGCATATAAATGAAATAAAATAAAATAAAATAAAATATTAGCCTTCTCTCCCAGCTTCCAGCATTATGAAATAGATATATGATAGATAGAAGATCTGACAGAAAAAGCTATCTTTAATGAGTTATCTTTGTAACTCCAAAAAGAGTTTCTTTTGAAGATGAAAACAAAGAAGCATTGTTATATAGCAGAGTTACATATATCAATTAAATAATAAAATTCCCATCTGTAAAAGAAAAACATTCTGAGCCACAATTTGCTATACATTAGAATCATGTATTGATCCTTCATTCTATAACATTATAGTGCTAAAGAAAAAACAGGCATAGTGACTTTAAGATGCAAAGGAAAATATCCAAACACTTCAGGTGAGGATGTGAAGCATCCAGGAAGAACTAAAGTTGCCAGTTAATTACAGTGGTTGGGAAACATTCATAATGACACCAAATATAAACAGGAACCTTGTTATAGCATCTAGATCAAGAGCCAAGGTGGCGCAGTGGTTAAATGCAGCACTGCAGGCTACTGCTAGATCAGCAGGTCAGCGGTTCAAATCTCACCGGCTCAGGGTTGACTCAGCCTTCCATCCTTCCGAGGTGGGTAAAATGAGGACCCAGATTGTTGGGGGCAATATGCTGATTCTCTGTAAACCGCTTAGAGAGGCCTGAAAGGCCTATGAAGCGGTATATAAGTCTACTGCTATATTGCTATATATATATTGCTATATCTGCTAGGACAACGTGTCTCAACCTTTGAGAGGCTGGCTGGGGAATTCTGGGAGTTGAAATCCACTCATCTTAAAGTTGCTGAGGTTGAGGTTAAAGTTGCTGTTCTATACTAATCATGACTATCATTAAGCGGGGGGGGGGGGATTGACCAGTCTCCATTACTCTTATTTTGAGATATTGGTGACTAGATGACTATAAACTATTGTAACTTACTAATGGGGTTAGATTAGTCCTGGTTTTAGCTACCTGCAAGAAGCAGTTGAAGAAGCTGTTCTTCTAGAGGGCATTTGAGGCATGATGCCTGAGGTATTTTTCGACTGTTTTTCTGAATTGTTCCTGGATTTATTCATTTATTTTGGGGGGGGGGGATTGTTGCATTGTAGATATTTTTAACATTTATATTTTAGTGAAACCATTGAAAATCCTTTGGGACTGTGGTGGGATATAAATGCTACAAACAGACAAATAAATTACGATCAACCCAAGCTACCTGCCAAGTCCTTTGAACAAAAATGGTTACTAGTATGTAATTCCATGGCATTATCTTTTTAAAAATCCAGGCAAAAGAGTGATGGGTGCCATTGGTGATGCTAGTGTATTGGAGAAAGGAAGGGAAAAGTTCTTTATAGGCAGCCTGCCCATGGCCTAAATATAGCAATCAGACACACACTGTCATTACCCAAAGGGCTAGATGTTAAGAACAACACTTAGCTCTCTGGTGCAATGCAAGAGGTGTGATTATTGCATGGTCTCTGGCAAAACAGCTTTTAAGATCTTGAATGGACTAGCTGAGAAAAAATGATTGTGGATCAGGATAATGGAGCACTGGATGAATGTTTTCCCCAGCATGACTAGTCCCTATTTGACCTTTCAGCCTTTGTTACAAGGGAGTCCTGTGCAATAAACTTGAATGGCCATCTTGGGGATTAATAGTTTAGCTTTACGGCAGAGAAATAGCACTGATTTAAATATTGTACAAGCTTGTGTTCTTGACTGGTTTCAGCAACCGTCATAATACCTGAGAGCCAGTTTGGTGTAGTAATTAAAAGCATCAAGCTAGGAATGGGGAGATTGTGAGTTGTAATCTTGCTTTAGGCATAAAACTAACTGGGTGACCTTGGGCTGTTTCTTCCCTTCAGCTCTAGGAAAAAAGTAATGGCAAACCACTTCTGAAACTCTTACCAAGAAATCTAGAAGGACTAGTCTAGGCATTTGCCAGGAATCAACATGGTACCCTTCCCCCCCCTTAATAATTATCTATTTCCGTGTTGTTCTTGCTTTGCATACAGTTCTTAAGATATAACCAACACTTAATTTTGTCAATTAAAGAGTCCTATAATAAATTGTATTGTACTGCATGTCTTTGAGGATTCTTTAGATCTACCTATCCAAACCAGTTATTTGAATTCCAAAGTTCTTAAGTTCCACCACTCTTAACACAGCTTCCATAAAAACCTATTCTTAGTATTTCCAGTGTGCAAATCACTGATTACCAATGGATAGTTGTTACCTTAAGAAAATTAGTATTCGAATCATGTGGAAAATATTTAGTTCAGGATTAGGATTAAACCATATTTAATTCTAAGTAGCATTCCAAATGACGCCAATGAGTATCTGGGATTCTCTCTCCCTCTCTTCCTCCCTCCTCCCACCCACCCCCCAGCTACCAATTGGCTGAGGCTTAGGCAAAATACTGACAAACAGCACATCTAGGACTTCTACGAAGCTGGAATTTGGGAGAGGATTTATTTTAGGCATGTTAAGCTTAGGTGAAAACGTGCAACTGTTTTCTGTTATCGTCATCTGTTACTTACAGGAAAATTGCACTAATGCCTATCTATGCTGTCAAGACTTGGTAGCGTGATTTCTGAATGCATGGGGGGGGGGGTACAGAAAAGGGTTTTGAGGCCACTTGCAGTCAGTGGGCCAACATTTGCCATGTACAAAGAAAAAGAAATATTTCTCCTTAATTTGCAGGAGACCTTGACAGGAAAAGGTTGTTTTTCATGATTGTTTCTTCAGAATTTGCAACAATGTTTCTTCTTATATACCCTTTTCAGAGTTCTTCATCTTTGGTTTCATGGTCCTTATGGCAGTGGGTTGATGTGCACAAGGAACATTTAATGTATGCTGAGTGGGGAATTCCAATAGTTGAAGTCCACACAGCTTAAAGTGGAAAAGTCTGAAAGTCTGAAAAACACTGTTCTAGAATGACTCCTTTGTTATGGAAATACAGTGTGTTTTGTGATCAGTGAGAAAAAGGGACATAAAGAGGGTGCTTAAAATTGACAAAATTTAGTTTTAAATTGAAAAGGTCGGGGGTTGAAAAATTAGGACTATTGGAAAGGTAGTAGATGGACTCATTGATTTTGGAAGAATTATGAACAAAAGGGTTCTAATTTTCTCTAATCGTAAAGGAAGAATTATATCAATTTGAAGATGAAGTAAAGCTTAATGTCATGTTCTAAGTTCTCTGCCTGGTCCGTACCCCTGGCAGGAACCGTTCTGGAAGCTGATTGGTCGGCCCATCTGACAGCTGACTATAAAAGGCAGTTGTCAGAGGGGAAATCAGCTGTTGCCTGTCACCAGGTTTTGCTGCTCTGTTAGCACTGTTAAATATTAGACATAAACCATCAGCTTTACTAAGCTCTGCTTCGCCTCAGTTATTGACACCCCCCTCATAGTTCCTGGTATCGAACACTTGGTACTTATATGCATAAACCTCTGTAAAACCATCTAGGTTTGGTTGAAGAGTATTTAGAATATTGTTTCACAAGCTGTTTCTCAAATTTTGTTTTGTATCATTCAGGAATAATCTGGGCCATTGGGGGGAATGTTTAATGCAGTTGTTATGTAGGAGGGGCTTTAAAAAGATTAAATAAATATTAGGGGCAGTCTTCTTAGATTTCTGGATAATATAAAAGAGCTGACCTAAGCACAACTCTTAACTGCACATGTATCCAACTGATGTGATTTATCAATTTTTATTTTATGTGTTAGCTATCTCTATAAAGAACTAATATTATGGTTGCTGAAATTGATAAAAATGGATTGCCTTACCATGAAGTAACAAGAATTTTCTACAATCATTTGTCAACTGTTATTGTCTACTGTCATATGTATAATTTCCATTTCAAATATTTCTGAATACTGTACTTGTTTCTTTCCTTGTAGTTTCTGCCCAAATAGTTCTGCTAATAATTCCAGCATATGGAGCATGTTACATAATAATTGAGGGGAGACTGGGATTTTGGAATTTCCTCCCTTAAGCTTCTCTCTGTACTTCAAAGGCGCACCCATGAACTATTTGTTTCTGGCCTTCTAACTCCTCGGACCTTATTTCTCTCATGTAGCTATCACTTCCATTTAAGATCCTGTGGAAAATTACCACACTGACAAAATTTGCTAGACATTTACAGGAAATCAAGCAGCTCTGTCTTCCTTTCCATTAAATTTTGGGGAAGTGATTGAGGCTCTGGACTTGTGAAATGAGTAATAATTGAGATGAGAGTTAAGAAATTGAAACATAATCCAAGTAAGATGCTGTACTGTTGCTTTTGGGAATCTACTGATCCAGGAAAGTGCGCACAGCTTGTTCTGTGTATAGGTGCTCTGTCTCCAAAAACTAATCTGACTGGTTGAAGGTTTCCTCAGTTTGACATTTCTGGATGTTGAGAAGGCCACAATAGGGGTGTTTCTCTCCAGCTTAGACTGGCATGCCAGTTGGGATGAAGGAAGACTTAGCTATACTTACACAGTAATAACATCTAGCCTGAACTATTGCAATAGAATCTCACTGGGGCTGTCTTTGTACAGTGCTCCATTGAGAAACTGTTCGGTTAAAAAAGGAAAGGGGGGGGATTTAACAAACATTTCCTATGGTGAACATATTATTCTTATACTATTTCAGCTGTATTGAATACTTATTTATTTCTGTGGGCAATTCAAACTGCTAACAGTATTGTCAGTGAGCTGGGACTAAAATATCCAAAAGACAGATTCACTAAACATGTATCAATGCTATGCTCTGGGCAACATCTGCATGGCATTGTTCTAGTATCTAGTTTTACTGTGAAGTTGCCAGCTTTACAATTTCACTAGTTTTGAAGGCTTTTTATTGTTTGTTTGCTTGGTTCAATCTCCTCTCCAAATTCTTGTATGTGCTTTCTGCGGTTTTAGTTTGATTCGTCTGTAAGTTACCCACATTGAAGGGTAGATAAATAAACAGGTTCCTTTTACATACATTTCTAAACTAAATCCAGATATTTTCAAGAGAAAGACATTCTAGTAGTGGTATTATTGAAAAAATTATCATAGAAATGTCAGAATTTTGACAAAGACAACATTGAGTTAAGCATGCATATTGAGTAACAGATTATGAAATATCCTAAACTAGTCTTATCCTAATGCTTGTGGGGGAAAAGACATTTTTGGAGTCAGGCCTATACATTTAACTTTAAATGACTAAGCTCAGTAATTGAAGATTATGTAATTGGGTAATGGGAAACAGCAATGCTGCTTTTCAAAAAAGGTAGTTATATTAAATCTCTGAAGACAATTTAATACTTCATTAAAAGAGCAACTGATCATAGCAGTAACTGCTTTTCCATTAAAAAACACACATCTTGTTCCAGTCACGCTGCATAATAAAAAAATTAAAGAAGTCCTCTAAATTTTCTAATAAAAATTAAATCCCCTATTTAAAAAATGGGACATCATTGGCAGAAACAGTTACATCAAATGTAATTAATCCAAGATACTGAAGGAGAGAAACATTTTGTTCCAGGAAAAAGACTTGCAAAAATATAAATTTTCTTTTTTACAATATGCCGTTTGAAAACTTTCAAGAGGCCCTTCGATTGTATGTCCTGTGTATGACATTTGTTCTTTATATTATTTTTCCATATTTAAATGTGGATACATATTAAAATATTAAAATAATTGTTTTAAATTTAACTGCTTTTTGGAAGCTGACCCAAAAGCATATTTTAAAGAATGATTCTTTTTCATCATTTGCTTATGACACAATCTCACCCACCTGGTTTAAAACCATTAAATTGAATTTGCACAACTCATTGAGAGGGGGTTAAGGTTAGGGCCACCTACTTGCCCATTCTGACATACAAGATATATAATAGCAGAATTGGAAGGGACCTTGGAGGTCTTCTAGTCCACCCCTCAGTCTAGGCAGGAAACCCTATACCATTTCAGACAAATGGCTATCCAACATCTTCTTAAAGACTTCCAGTGTTGGGGCATTCAGAACTTCTGGAGGCAAGCTGTTCCACTGATTAATTGTTCTAACTGTCAGGAAATTTCTCCTCAGTTCTAAGTTGCTTCGCTCCTTGATTATTTATTTATTTATTTATTTATTTATTTATTTATTTATTTATTTATTTATTAGGCTTATATACCGCTTCATAGAGCTTTCAGCCCTCTCTAAGCGGTTTACAGATTGTTAGCAAATTGAGTCAGCAAATTGCCCCCACAGTCTGGGTCCTCATTTCACCCACCTCAGAAGGATGGAAGGCTGAGTCAACCTTGAGCCAGTGAGATTTGAACCGCTGAACTGCAGATAACAGTCAGCTGAAGTGGCCTGCAGTACTGCACCCTAACCACTGCGCCACCTCGGCTCCTACGGTTTCCACCCATTGCTTCTTGTTCTACCCTCAGGTGCCTTGGAGAATAGTTTGACTCCCTCTTCTTTGTGGCAACTCTTGAGATATTGGAACATTGCTATCATGTCTCCCCTGGTCCTTCTTTTCATCAAACTAGACATACCCAGTTCCTGCAACCGTTCCTCATATGTTTTAGCCTCCAGTCCCCTAATCATCTTTGTTGCTCTTCTCTGCACTCTTTCTAGAGTCTCCACATCTTTTCTACATCGTGGCAACCAAAACTGAATGCAGTATTCCAAGTGTGGCCTTACCAAAGCATTATAAAGTGGTAATAACACTTCACGTGATCTTGATTCTATCCCTCTGTTTATGCAGCCTAGAACTGTGTTGGCTTTTTTGACAGCTGCTGCACACTGCCGGCTCATATTTAAATGGTTGTCCACTCGGACTCAAGATCCCTCTCACAGTTACTACTTCTGAGCAAGGTACCACTCATACTGTACCTGTGCATTTTGTTACAATACAAGACATACAATACAGTTGAATTTTTAAAAGCCCATATTAGGGGATCTATAAAAAGTCACCATGTTCAGCTTCACATCACCAAATCATTTAGTGCCAGAGAGAAAAGAGGAGCTCTAGGAATTTGACCTCCTCACTGATCAGCTATCATTTAAACAATCAACCTTGAATCCTTTTACTTAGTTGAAGTGATATAAATAAAAACATATTAGCCATATTTTACCCAACAATGTGCTTAGAAGTAATACAATAAAAACTGTATTCCTTATGTAAGTGTGATTCTGTGTTTAAGTTCTGTGAGTTCTGCAATGATTTTGTGCCCTGTTTTAGATTTCTTCACTTGAATCTCCACCTATGGACCTGTTACTGACTGTCAACTTGAATTTAATATTGTACAAGCTAGGCAAAATAAAGTAGAATAAAAATAATTAAATAAATAGAACTAAAATCATCACAGACATTTCTGGGTCTTATATTTGTCATTCATGTGCTGATATTGGTATGAAACCAGAGCCCCTGTGACCCTGCTCAGGAACCTGTTATGCCTCTCAGGCATAAATGACAATGGCTTTTGCTGTTGTCTCCCCATCATTTTGCAACAACCTGGATGGGAGGTGTATCTGCCTCCCTCACTGGCTGATCTAAAGACTGGAATGCTTTCTTGATAGCATCATTTCCCTGAGGGCTACTTACACTGAGAAGAGTCATTCATTCATCCTGGTCCAGAAAAATCACAAGTGGTTTAGATCATCAATGGGAGGCATCGGAAAGATTCTTCTCAAAATGTTCCAATTCAAGTATTCATTTACAGTAACTGATAGGTGAAATAATTGCTGCATCTGAATTCCTTCCCCTTTTTTGCAGGCAGTGATGTCTTCATGGTTTTGAAAAGAAGCGAGCAGTGAATGCTCTTCCATCGCCACAGAGATGGTGACAAGCAAGGGTGACAAACAGGTGCCAAGTTCCAGGGAACTAGTGAGAATGTCTCAACCTGCTACCCTAGCTTCTCTACAAGTCACCTTTCTTATGCTATTTCTCTGCTGGGATGCACTTATTTCGGCACTGCCCATTGGTCCTGATTACTTGCAACGTGGCTGGCAGAGGCTTCTAGAGGAGGGGGAGAGTTGTGTGGCATGTAGATTGGAAGAATGCCCCACTCCTCGTGGTTGCCTGGCTGGAGTGGTCTTGGATGCCTGTGACTGTTGTTGGGAATGTGCAAATCTAGAGGGACAGATCTGTGACCTGGACCATACCAACCACTTCTACGGCAAATGCGGGGATCATTTAGAGTGCCGTCTTGATTCGGAAGACCTGCAACATGGAGAGGTGCCTGAGCCCCAGTGCACTTGTTTATCTAACCAAGCTCTTTGTGGCTCTGATGGCAAAACATATGCTCAGATCTGCAAGTTCCAAGAGGTGTTTAATTCCAACCCTGAGGCTAATCTCACTGTAGCTCATGAAGGACCTTGTGAATCAGGTAAGGTCCACTGTCGGTCCCCTCTTCCCCAATGCCTGTGTGAGTCCAGAAAGGACTGGTTTTAAATGTTTTGAAAATAAAATAAATGGTGAAGTAAATAATCTGACGGTTTTAAATTGGATAAGAGAGATTGGGCAAGAACAACCTGGTTTCAATAATTTTGCAATTCTCATTAGTCCCTCACCACACACACACATACAAAAGCTGTTATCTAGTCCTTAACGCTGCTACCAAAGATTGAATCAGGGGTTTTGAATCATGCACTGCCATTTATCTTTCATTTATATTTCTCTACAAGGACTGTACATATTTCTTAATAGTACACAGTCAGTGTGTGCCTATTGTTTCTATGGAGAGTTGCAACCGTAAAGATTTTAAAAAGAATTTAAATAATTGAAGATAAGGAATCAGTGCTTATTGATGAATTCACCCAGGTAAAACAGTCCTCAGCATTAAGATGAACCTGAATAGCTACAATTCCACATTGACAGACTGTTGCTTTCTAGAGCTAGACAAGCCCTAGCAATTGTATATAAAAATAATCGCTAGAGTTAAGGTAAGTGCTAGAAATATTTCATGTGTAACAAACATTATATATTAGGGATATCAAGTGTCATCTGGCATACACCTTGGTCTGCACTGACATATTGTTCCAGGGATTCATAGTATAGCAAAACTTGGTAAATCACACCAGACTAGATAGTGTTCTAGATGTCTGCTACTAAAACAGCATTTACAAATTACACATCTAATAACTGTAATGACTGCTACAAGCTAGACTTGGGGATTAGTATCCCATTTCCTCTCACCAAATATGAAGTTACCAATGGTACAAAGTATGGACAAAATCTCATGAGATACTGAGATGACACTATTACAAAATGGTAATAAACAGGGACTAGACCTGCAAGTGATGGAGGAACTACCTCTAATTTGATCTCCTTATCGCAAGGAAAGGAGATATCCCAAAATAGAGGAATAAACTAGGATTCAAATTTAGGCTGGTTGTGGAGAAACAGAAAAGAACGTGGGGAGATAAGACTGTGATACTAGAAGTGAATGTTTCTAATATTTGGTCTCACAACGCTACGTTTTACATAATACAATTATAATACAATACAATAGCAGAGTTGGAAGGGACCTTGGAGGTCTTCTAGTCCAACCCCCTGCCTAGGCAGGAAACCCTATACCATTTCAGACAGATGGCTATCCAACATCTTCTTAAAGACTTCCAGTGTTGGGGCATTCACAACTTCTGGAGGCAAGCTGTTCCATTGATTAATTGTTCTAACTGTCAGGAAATTTCTCCTCAGTTCTAAGTTGCTTCTCTCCTTGATTAGTTTCCACCCATTGCTTCTTGTTCTACCCTCTGGTGCCTTGGAGAATAGTTTGACCCCCCCCCCTTCTTTGTGGCAACCCCTGAGATATTGGAACACTGCTATCATGTCTCCCCTAGTCCTTCTTTTCATTAAACTAGACATACCCAGTTCCTGCAACTGTTCTTCATATGTTTTAGTCTCCAGTGCCCTAATCATCTTTGTTGCTCTTCTCTGCACTCTTTCTAGAGTCTCCACATCTTTTCTACATCGTGGCGACCAGAATTGAATGCAGTATTCCAAGTGTGGCCTTACCAAGGCATTATGAAGTGGTAATAACACTTCACGTGATCTTCACGTGTTATTGGGGAAAAAATGCTGAAAGATTAGAAGCTGCTTTCTAATAAAGCATAAGTTATTTGTCTAGACTGGCATCTAATATCCAACTGGCAGGGCAAGCTGAGGTAAAACTCTACCTCATTGCTACTGAACTTTGTAAAAATCAGAACAAAGCTCTGGAGGTTCCAGAGCTTGAATAAAAGTCACTCTGTATGCAGAACTTGTGCTCTACCTAACAGCCAGCTACCGTCTCTCCCCAGGCATCAGAGCTTAAAACAAGAGGAGAAGTGAGTTAGCTGGAAAGCTTAAGTCAAATCCAAGCATTTGACAACAAGGCAAGCTGATTAGCAGCTGCCACAAAGCTGTCATGTTTCCCCAGCAACAGGAGACAGCAGTAACATCCCTAGAAAGCATTTCATTTAAACGACTGCGACAAAGCCCCGGACCACCGTTTAGGGGCCAAGGGCCCTTGTTCACAGATGTGCCACGATGATGCAAATACATTCTTTATAACAGCTGCTGATGGCCTGGCAAAGCAGCACTATTTAGCTCAATCATAAAAGGTTTTCCGCTGAAAGGAAACAGAGAGTATAGTGCAATAGTTCATTTATTTATTCTGTTTATATGACCATCCATCTCAAACGTATGACTCTAGGCGGTGATCAAAAAGTAAAAGATAAAATACCATAAAGGCAATAAAAAACAAATACAGCAGCTGAGATTAAGTAAAGCACAACATATTTCATCAATATAATAGGCTTAACCACACAGCGTGAGCCTCAGGCTTGGTTCCAAGCTAGGTTTTTATGGTCTTTTTGAAAGCCTATAGAGTTGGGACAAGCCTAATCTGCAGAAGAATTATATTCCAGAGGGCAAGCATTATAATAGAAAATGATTTCCTCTATGGACCCACCTGATGACTTTCCCTAGTGGATGGGACCTAGAACTTGCCTTTCCTGTTGGACCTCATGAGACAGGTGAGGAGAGACGGTCCTGAAAGTAACCTGGTCCCATGCCCTTGCCATTTTGAAAGTTTAGATGTTACAAAAAATAAATAAATAAAAATAAGACAGGTCTTGACTACAAGCTAACTGTCAAAAAGTGAGAGTGATTTAATCACCATAAGATTAAAGGATCTCTTAAAATATGTACTAAATGGTAACTTGAAGGAATCATCATCTCTCAAATTGAGCAGAAAAGATAATATCTTCATGGACAAATCATCTAGATATTCTTGGCTTCTCACATCTTTTTTTTTGGCCTTTCCTAGAGCCCCTTATTGTATCTCCTCCTTATGATATCTGGAACACCACTGGGCAAGATGTGATCTTTGGCTGTGAGGTCTTTGCATTTCCCATGGCATCTATTGAATGGAGGAAGGACGGTCTGGATATGCTGCTTCCTGGAGATGACCCCCACATTTCAGTTCAGGTAACCCTGAAAATCTAGTCTGCCCTTAGATGGTGGTTGTTTGTGCGTATGGGGAATATTGTCTTCCCTTTAGCTCTTTGTATATGGTCCTAAAGTGTCACTATTTTATTTAATTATTTTGTTAGATTTATTCCCACTTTCCCCCTAGAAGCTCAAGATGGCATATGTAATATTGACTTCTTTTTTGTTGTTGTTCCAACAACAACAACACTGTGGGTGAAGTTTGGCTGAGAGAGAGGGACAGGTCCAAGTCATCAACTGAGCTTCCATGATTAAGGGTGAGCTTGAACCTGAATCTCGTAGGTGAGAACTTTAATAATAACAACATCAAATTGGCTCTCAAAGTTCTTCAGATCTTCCATCCTATACCCTGCTGATTTACAACTTCTGCTTTCTTAACAAAAGATGGACTTGCTTAACATATGACAGCCAGCTTTGGAGATGCGCAGAGTTCTTCAAATAACCTTCTGTTGGGTTTTTATTTGCTTGTTTTGCTTTGTTTTGTTTTTTGGCGCTGCTAAAAATATAGTTAACCCATGAACCTGTTCCCCATTTTTCTTTTGTTTTTCTTACTGCAAGCTTTAATTACCATTCCATCTTTACTGCTTTTTCTCTTGCTGGGCACAATTATACACATTTGCATTAGCAATTGGAAATATTGTGGTGATCTGTGAATGTTCCTCACATGGATCTTCACAGAGGTTAACAAGCTTGGGAAGTCAGCCTAAAATAAAACTTAAAAGGCTGCAAAGTACTTAGTGTTACACCCTTCCATTTAGAGGGTGTGTGAGGAAATCCTAGGAATCATTTATGGAAACTAACATTTCTACTGTTATATGGAATGTTTGGGTGGGGTAAAAGCATATGTCAAGTCACAATCTGGTTAGGGGACTGGGATAGTTCCATGTTAAATCAAGAGAAACAGGAGGATATTTTTGTGATAGCATCTATCATTTAGAATAAGAGACATTTTTGTTCCTTGCATTGTTGTATCAAATTTCAACTACCCATTTAACATAAGTATAATCACACTAGTCCAAGAAAACAGATGAGGAAAATACAACTGAACAAATTAAACTGGAACCAGGAATTGCTTTCCTACAAGAAACAGCTAAAACAATGAGAAAATCTCTAGAGAGAATGTCTGCTGCTATGAGTTAATTAAAAATAGTCTGGGTGTAATGCTAGACAATATATTGCATCAGAAATGTTTAGTGGAAGAATAGATATTAAGCAATATTACCAAGGTCCTAATGCACTGCTAAATCTGTATGCAGCATGGGATTTGGAGACCTTTTTTAGACAGTGGGATTTTAAGAATGTAATCCTGCCCACATTTATGTTAAGTGAAGTTTAAGGAAAAGAATGATTGTTTAGGCATATTGACTCTCCAGGCTTTACAAAAGATTTGACTTTCATATGCAAACAATTCCAGCCTATCATTATGTATTCATCATTGCCCTCATGCAATTTATTTTTTTGCATATTTGCTCTTCATGCATGTATATAAATCTTCACACTTGCAATTGTATACATGAAGTTTCCTCACTTAAAGATGTTAATCCAACAGATAGTGGGGAAAACTAAAGATGTATGAGCAATGTGACTTGGAGCTGTTATGTGAGGGTAAATAGTGTTTTCCTAATGTAGTGAAGTATTTGTATTTGTATTTGTATTTATTTGGTTTGTATGCCGCCCAATCTCGGAAGACTCAGGGCGGCTGACAGGTAAAAAAGGAAGGGGGGGACATACAAAGAATACAAAAAACATTAAAATTCGACAACATTCATGACTTAAGATGGGGCTGGATCAACAGCCTCAGGCCTGCCGGAACAGCCAGGTCTTAGTCGCTTTGCGGAAGGCCGGAAGGGTAGTAAGGGTCCGGATCTCAATGGGGAGATCGTTCCATAGGGCCGGAGCAGCTACAGAGAAGGTAATTAAGTAATTAAAATGTTGGGTGTGGATCATATGGGGCACAATGTTCTCTCTCTTGTATTTCTGTAGGGAAGATATTCTAAAATCCCTTTAGTTGAATGTGTGTGCCCATTTGAACTAAAACTGGATTACTGTAATGCGCTCTACTTGGGGCTGCCCCTGAAAAATGTTCGGAAACTGCAATTAGTCCAGAATGCAGCCGCGTGAGCGATATTGGGTGTGCCAAGGTACACCCATATCACACCTATCCTCCGTGAGCTGCACTGGCTTCCCATTGGTCTCCGAGCACGA